ATAATTTTAAATTGAAAAAAAAAAAAAAATTGACACTTGAAAAAAATTTGTTTTGCCTGTTTTTGAAGTTGTTTTATTTTTCAAAGAAAGCAAACGCCAATTTTATTTTTTGATATGTTGTTAAGCTATAAAAGCACTATATAAACAAATTTTAAAAATTAAAAAACGTTTGGTTCTTCATAGTTAAAAATGGCGCCAAACAAAAGAAGTTTTTCATTTTTTTGACATTTTGAGCTCCGATAGCTCAAAAAATTCAATACAGATTTTAACGAAATTTTGTGATTTATTTGTGACTATAAGGTACTTCTAAAATAACAAAAAATATTTATTTATTTTGCGATAGATTTTGAGCTACGCTGTTTTGAAATCGGTGAAATTTTCAAAAAATTCATTTTTTTCTAGATTTTTTGTTCAAAATATCCTTTGATTCGAGACAATAACATTTATTTTTTTTGTTATTACATTGTTTCACTGATATGCACAAAAAATTTCATCAAGATATGTTGGCTAGTTCAAGAGATATAGCGTTCTACGTAGGTACAAGTTTTGAAAAAAATCGCTCAAAAATTTGAGGATGCTGTCACAAAAATCTTCATAACTTGAAAAATAATTGAAATTTTTTTATAAAAATTTTATTTTGTCGATGAAATACATTGAGGTACTTACTGTTCAAATTTTAAAAAAATCGGAGATGGTCGGGCGTGGACTTTTTTTTAAATCGTTCAAGTTGACGGAGAATGACCCATAAGCAATAGAATGCTATTTCAGTATAAAATGCTTTAGTTTCAAATTTATTTGCTAACACAGTGTTCATCTTGTTACTGTTTATAAGTGAGTTGTTGCAACAGACGGAAAGAAAAAACTTTTTACAACTTCTGAGAGCAGCTTTTAATTCAGCGAAACCATCACCCACCCAACAACTGTAGCTTTTAATTCAGCGAAACCAACACCCACCCAACAACTGAATATAAATAACCGCATTATAATAAAATTGATCACCTAATCAAAATTCACCGATGGAGAATTATTTACAACGTTTAGATTGCAATGCAACCGGCCATCGACATAATGAATGACGGAATTAGGGCGAATTTCATCAAAAATCACAACGAATATCGCTCAAAACGCGATCAGCTGGATGCGGCCAACATGAAAAAAATGGTTAGAGACGCACACAAACACAGCCACACGCATACAGACGCATACAAACACACGTACGCACACAAACTCACGTAAAAAATTATACACTGTGGTTATAATAAATTTCGATTTCCAAGTATTACTCCATGGAATTGGAAAAGGCAGCTCGTGAATACCTGAACGCCATACCCCCGCCAGAAGTTGGGCCAGACGCTACAACCACCCCTAAATGGCTTTCTGACAAGTTTTATTTCAATTTGTTCAAATACATTTTTAAAAAATTATTCATATTTTTATCTTTTTTTTCAATCCATAAAATTTTAAAAATTTTAAATTTTTTTCATAGGTATCCCGGTCAAATTGGAGCAAATTTCAAATCTAGCACAAGCACGCAATCTTCTTAATTTGTTATAACTTAATTAATTTAATTAATTAGTCGGCTAATGGCAAATAATTAATTATTAAAATTAATTTAACCCAACATAAAGTCAGCGAATTAGACTATTACTCCATCTTCACATGGCAGAACGACCGCAAATTCTGCATCGACCAGGCGGACATGCTGCGCTGTGCCAAGTTCACAAACGTAAGAGAGTGAAACAAAGAAATTTAACTTTCTGAAATTTTTCTTGTAATTTTCTGAAACATTCCAATTCTGATAGAGTAGCTAAACAATGTAGTACTTACCTAATCAATGCTGAATCATTTCTACTTGCTACGTTTTACGTAGGACGTACTAACATAACACCCACATTTACCTGCACCAGGCATTTATGAAGATTTTTTTTCACCCAAAGTATCCTGAGATATTTCAAAGCTTCTGACATTAACATACCTCTGAGCTATACTTTTTTAATTTTTTATAAACTTTTCACCTATAATAATTTTTTTACCGCAATTAAATTTGCAATAAATCCTCGCAGATTGCATGCTCCGAGACTAATCGTGTTGGCTGTTCGCTGGTCAACAACACTGGCAAAATGAGGATCTTGGTGACTTGCTTTTACAGGCCCAAGTTATTTGGCCTGAATCAATTTATATAAAATTTTTACAAAAATACGTGGACTTAAGTGTATTTAAACGTTACCTGCTCGTTGCTCTTCCGTTAACTATTGAAAAAATTATAAAAAAAATATGAAAAAAATTGTGAAAAATAAAAAACCATGCAGATGTAATTGAAAAATTTATAAAAAATATGAAAAAAATTGTGAAAAATAAAAAATCATGCAGGTGTACACCGAGCCACGACCCTTACATTAAAGGTGAACAATGTACCAGGTGCACCAACGACTCCAAAAACTGCGAAGAAGCGTTATGTGGTTAGATGCTTATTTTCATTGTTGATTTACTAGTAGACTTCACTAGTACACCAGAAAATGTGGATGATAATATTCTCATTGCAAACACTTTGAACTCAGCTCACAGTAGGCAATTATGCCCAGCAGACTGCCGTGACCTCTTTCAATTCAACTGCGGGGCATGCAATTCTCCAATCCCTGGTTCGTCGCCACTTTTGTCCACTTTCTTTTCCTTCTGATTTAAAAAAAATTACGTTATTAAAATTAAAATGTTATTATTAAAATGATTGTTATTATTATTATTATTCTTATAATTATTATAATTTATATAATAGGCTAATTGTTGTTGTAGAAAAAAATATTTTAGAATTAAAATTAACCAAATTTTCCTTTCGGTGGAAATACTTAAATAGTTTTCATTTCAAATTCATAAAGAAAAATTGTGAAATTTAACCCTAATCCTAATTAATTTTTTTGTTTTGAAGGGCCTTTAGCCCCAATGCCTTCCCATGGCTACACTCTTAGGGGGTGTTGAACAGTCAGGAATTTAAAACTAACGTTTAACATAACTAAAACCTTGAAATAGGCGATGCCTGTATGTTATTTTATTAACTATTTTCAGGAAGAAGTAGCAGAATTGAGGTACCATGGGATTGTATAACCACAGCTACAATCTTCTTTTTCTCCGTCACCATGCCCTATTTTCAACTTTTCTAGAAATTCTAATTGATTTGAAGTTATGTACAGAAGCCAACTATATATATGTTTTTATATGTAAATTTATATATATATATATATATATGCTTATTTATTTCAATTTTTCTGGGTCAGTTTCAATGTAACAAAGATCCAAATAGTAATTTGCGCTGTCTAATTCTACAAAGCTTATGATAAAGTCACCCACCTTTACTAGGTTACACTAAACAATTGT